CTCTTTACTACAGCAGCTCTTGTTGAAAAGGACTCAGAAAGACTACAACAGGTCAAAATATTTTTGCCACTATTGATTCCTATTTGAAATCTCTGGGTTTATCTTGTTAGGTGTGCAAATACCTACATATGACTTACAATTCTGCTAATATTGAACACTGCTAAAAGGACCTCACGGCACCCCACAGTGCCATGACTCAGTTGAACCAAATTAATCTAAGTGTTTGCTATTCATTCTCTGTTTCACATGAATTTAGAAAGTAAAAAATACAGCCTTTCTATATGCCACACCAGAAATGTAACCACATACCTGAAAACCCAGTTCTTTCTCAACTGTATTAGCTCTTCAAATTTAACTATGTAAATTCTTGTTGGCATTATGATACAGATGATGATGCCTAGCAGAGGAGTGGATAAAATATGGCCTGCAGACCAGATCCAGCCTGCCAACTGATTTTATTAGGCCTGTGGGCAAGCACAAGCAGCAGTACCGTGCAGTAGGCCTTGGATGAGCTGTGATTTGGCCCCGCCTTTGCTGGCAGGTGTCATGGGCAACCTCTGCTGGTGCCTCAGGGGACGCTGGGCAGAAGCAGCTCTACCTGCCTGCCCAGCACCACATAGAGGCCTGGGAGATGGAAAAATAAGCTTGCCCAGGGCCTGTGGGGCCAGACTCCATCTTCCAGGCACTGCACGGCATGCTGGACAAAACCTGCCTGGCTGCCTGGCACCAGAAGAGGTGAGGGCCCAAGCATGGCTCACCCAGGGCCTGCCATGAAGTGCTGGGCAGGTGTGACTGCTTTGGCACAGCATCCCCTGTGGCACCTGGGAGATGCAGCCCAGCCCCACAGTTGCGCTCAGTCCCTGGCCCCTGTTGGCAGGCAGCACCCATGGCCTGGGGGGGCTAGACTGCATCTCTCAGGTGCTATAGGGGATGCTGGGCAGAAGCAGTCCCACCCACCCAGCACCATGTGGCAGGCCCTGGGCAAGCCATGCACAGGCCCTGGTGGCTCAGGCTCTGACTATCATGCAGTGCAAGAAGGGCAGGTGGGGCTGCTTCCACCCAACAACCATAGGGGCTCAGGCACAGCTCGTTCAGCCCCTGCCCACAGGTGCTGGAGCCTGGCCACAGGCCTCTACACTGTCCCATCCTGCACCACCATCAGGGCTCATGGCAGGGTGAGGAGGGACAGTGTGGGGGCCTACAGCCAGGCTCCATCCCCTGGCCCCCAGCTATGGACAGAGAGGGGATGGGGGGGAGTGGACAGGCGGGCAGGAGCTGGGGTACACGTGTGCATGCATGCATGTGTGCAGTCCTCAACAGCTCACCAAAACTCATTAAGTGTCTCTCCAGCCCAAATAATTGCCTGCCTCTGACCTAGGAAATCAGATTTCAAAAGGTACCACTTTACAACCATTAAAAAGAGATTTTTTCTAATGCAATGCAGTATGGGTTGATGCAATTAAGTTAACTTGGGGCAGGTATGAAAACAACTATCAGAGCACTATCTACTCTGCAGCAGAATAGGAAAGGGAAATTACAGAACACCTCTGTAGCAAAAGACGTGCAGTAATAGTAGTATATTATACTACCAAGCAACACCATTCCTTCCCATCTTCTTGCCCAGACAAAGAAAAAAAAGAAAACAAAAAACAACACAGCTCTTCCTTGCTTAAGAAGAATCAGTTATTGTTTTCCACAAGGATTATTTCCAAGAATGGTTTTTCTTTCTGCACCCTGAGCAGCCGATATCCACTCTCTAGGCCTCTGATCGTACAATATTATCCAGCCAGCATAAGCAAAAGAAAAAAGGGGGAGCTTGTAGCCAGGTTCAGTAGCTCATCTTCTTGGCTTGCTGGTCCTTGGCTGTTGTGCTACTATACAGGCGCCCAACTCTCCAGCCTACTTTTCTGATTCCTACACTCCCTGGTTCAGAGCTGGACTCCAGCTCTGGTTGCTTGGGTCCTTGCTGCCTGACTCAATGGAACAAAGCAGGGACCACGTACTCTGATCCAAGTAACTTCCCTTGTGTGGAAAGTTACTGAGTGAGAGGCAGCTGTGGACAGACCCTAGCAAGGCAAGGGCACAGAAGAAAGACCAAGCATTCAGCTAAAGCCGCTTGGCAGACTGCATGTCTTAATGCCCCTGATGCAGAACTGCCGTGCAGAGAACCCTGGAGAAAGACCCTATGCCTCTCCAAGCTATTTTCTACTTTCTCTATAAGCCGACTCAGGCAGGCAGCTCTGTCAGATACTCTTGGGTCCCATGGTCAAGACCACCTAGGGAAGCAGTGCAGCCCAGCAGATAGCACTTAAACCTAGGAATTCAGGGTTTCCAAGGCCTCTCAACTCAGTCACTGGCATATACAGCAACCCTGGTCAACTCCCTGTCCCTCAGTTTCCTAATCTGTAAAATAAGGATGGATAATGACTCTATCCCTTGAAAATTATTCCAGTAAGAGTCTTTCATTGTTCACTCACAATCTGTTGAGAAGCATCCACTCCATTTGTCCACTAGTGTCCTGGAGACCTGGAGGGTAATTCATATTCAAGATGCCACTTGACACAGGATGGTCTCACCCTCCCATCCACACTATATATAAGAGTAAAGCAGTTGTGTTGTAGGTATGAATTTGCAAAGACACCCTCTCCAAGTCTACTTGACTGGTGATGGATGGTGGTACCAACTCACAAGTGAAACATATGTTACTACAGTTCTGGTTAAGAAGGTTAGTAATAGACATGCTTCTGTATGCTTTCCTGGGATTTTTGCTGCAGCCTAGGAAAAAGAGAATACCCTGTGAAATCTGTAGAGGCATATCTAAGTTTTACCTGCTTGTTGAAGACATTGATTTTAGTCAGCCCAGCACGCAGTGTAAAAATAGTCTGGTAAACTGCATGAAGTCCCCAGTCCCCTCATTGTCCAAGAGATTCAATAGGCACATACTTCTGCAGGACCTAAGAAAGACTAGCTGGCACTCCTCCAAATCCACAAGCCTCAGTTGACTTTCTGGGGGTCTCCCACAAAGCCTTAGTAGGCTTGTCAGCATCTCAGTAGCAATAATGTTAAAATAGTCAAAGGAATAACCTTAACCTGAGGGTGACACTGAATACACTTCCTAAGAGTTCACAAGTTTCTAAATAAAACAAAAAAGGATCCACACAACCTTCTCCTATTGTGCATCACCTCTTTTAAATATATGGCAAGAATCACTGTTTGCAGAATGTCTCAAAGTCCTTTGCTCAGAGGAGCTGGAGACATGGAACTTATCCTGACATCTTTCAGGAGACGCATCCTAAATTGTATGTGATGTTTGACAAATGCAGAGAGGCAAGTCTGCCCCACAAAACATTAATTGTGTGGAAACATGCCTGTATGCTGTTATTTCTAGCACACTTTTTAAATATTTGTTTTAAGCATGAACTTGCACAACCCTTGCTACTTATGTTCATTCAATATCACAAGCTCTGAACAAGACAACAAAGCTAAATACAACTAAATAAACACACTGGCTTGCTACATGTCATTAATCACCATTGTGCAAAGCATTCTAATTGAAACAGGCCCCTGCTGCTCAGATCTTTGTTAATTTCTTCTTTAATTTCAAAACAAGTTATTTCCTTCCTCCAAGTGTTTTAGGTTTCAGAGGGCCATGTGCGCTTGCAAAGGCTGGAACAGTACAGACTCTTTATAAAAGATAAGATGCAAGACATAAATCAGTGTCTTCTCAGGCATACTATCTGCTGAAAAATAGAAGCTACTTAACAAGAGTAGCCAACTAAATCTGCTTCTCAAGAATCTCGTTTGGGGCCAATTCTAAAAGCACTGCAGGTCCTGTATTATTACATTTCCATTCCTCATAGAGACTGACTGTGGGAAATGATCGATTGCTACTTTGTTGTTGTCTACCCAATAGCTCGTGTATTCAAGACTGGGCTGGAAAGGTTATGAAAAACAGGCTCTTCCCCAAAAGGTATGGCTCTTCTACTTCCATGAGAGCATTTTTACTACAGTGATTCAAATGAAGTGTTGACATCCCAACCAAAATCAGAATCCCAGGGTACTATTCCATACATGCACATAATAAGAGACAGCTCTTTCCAAGATCTAAATATACAAGACAAATGAAGGCAAAAGTACCTCCTTAATACTCACCTTTACCCCAATGCCTCAACACTTAACCTGAACAGAGTCAGGCAAGTTGCAAGCTGTACCTATTCCTCCCCTTAGCAGAGGAATGAGAGGACAAAGTTACCTTTTTTTTTTTTAAAACAAATGAGTAGGAGGACATACAGCTCTTGAGTGACTTGCCTGAGGTCTCAGTGTAAAGCCCTATCACCTGACCCCAGCAGTCTTCCCTGACCAAGTGCAGAGGGGTTGGCCCCAATGATCTGTAAGGTCCCTTCCAGCCCCTAACATCTATGAAACTATGAAGTAATCCACAAAATCTGTGGCACAACTCAGATCTCCTAAGTGCTAGCCTGGTGTCCTAATCATTAGGGTTACCTTGATTTTCTTGGTATTTAGACTCTTTCATCTCTAGTCCTTGAGCAAGATGAAATGTGAAAGCAAAGGCAAGTGACAAAAATACTTCATGAAAGCCTTTCAGTACTTGCTAAGGCAGTTGGAGTTCACTTCTAGAATTAGGTGAAGGCCTTAAAAGGTGGAGTTGGGGATGCCTTTATTTTAATGATTCATCTATTCCTACTATAAGGGCCATGGTCTCTTTTAGAAATATCCAACAAATGGGTGCATTTCCTTTTTAGGTAAACTCTATTAAAACATTCCTACCTAGATTATCAGATAGTGCATTTTATTGCCCAGTAAGACTGCTGATGCCCAAACACTAGAAGTGTTGAAAGGCATACCCGAGTTCAGTGCTCAGCAAGGTCAAGGTGTCTTCCTCCTTAGACCGTGATGCCCACAGGTGTTACCATGACCAACCCCTCAGATCATATGCCAACAGCTGAATTATAGGCTATCATTAAACAGCTAGAACTTACATCCATGCCTGTAGCTGGTGTGGTGGTTTGGAGAAGAGGTTTAGTGACTGGTATTTTTCCACTCCCTAAAGTGTTTCCTGAAGCTTGTGGAAGCATGTTCATGTTGCAGCTGTGAAGTTGGGAGGTGCCTCCAGTGACAGCAATAACTGGCTGGGAGGCAGGGAGAACTCCAGGAGTCTGAAGCTGTACCATAGTGGTCTGAGAAAGCATCACTGGCTGACCTAGGGGAGAGAGAGACAGGCAAAAAACAATCACGAGTGAGTCAAAGGATTCCTAAAGGTTCTACATTTCTTCTCTTGATTTTGCATGAAGTTACAAGCAAAAAATACAGCTTTCCTATCTACACCTCAGCAGAGCAAGGACAAGTATTCCCGTAGTGCAGAGAGCCAGATGAAGAGTTTATGGATCCAGATGTGGTATTTTTCTGTGGTGACATTTCACCATGCTGGAAGGTGCAGAAGAAGTTAACTGATCAGCTAATGGACCAACACTATCCACTCAGATTTTCCTGACTACTTCAGGGAGCAGCTGAAGCCATGTGTTTTAATCTGGCAGAAAACAAAGTCTTTTGTTATCCCTGATTTACAGAAGTGCATGGGCACTTGGAGTCTATCGTGATGAAAGAGGCTTAAAAGAAGGCAATACCACCTACTGAAAGATACCCATGATAGCTTGAAAAACATTTCAGTTTACCCTGGCAGAAGACTAAACTTGTTCTGATGGATACAGCAGTATCAGATATATACTCTGCATGGAGTCTGTAACATTTCTCCTTTGTTTGCATAAATATGGGAGCAAACTTTTTTTTACAGTATTACATGGCAAGTTAACGACCATTAGAATACATTCTACTTTTCCTTTGAGTTCATAAAAACGATCTGGACCCAATGGATGGTTCATATTTCTAGAGGAAGTATGAATAGTTTGGCTTTTCAATTTTTCTAGAGTAGCGTTTCTCAACCCATGGGTCATGACCCAAAAATGGGTTGCAAGAATATACAAAAGGGTCATGAACAAACTTTAAAAATGGATTATCCTCTGAAGGAGAAAAATGTGGGAAACCACGGGTTTTCCCTTACAGGCTGGCAGAGTTCCAGCCTGCTTGGGGCCCCCCCATGCCCCACCACACACACTCCCACCCCATACATGGAGGGGCTAGGGCCTAAGGGCAGGGGGAAGCAGGTTGGGAGTGAAGGGCACCGGCAGGGCCGGGGGCTGTTTTGTACTTAAACTATTTACTGGGTCAGGACTGGCCACTGATGTTTACAAATGGGTCCTGGTACAAAACAGGTTGAGAACCACTGATCTAGTACTTGTGAGTGAACTCCCCAGCCTTGTTTACAGCGAGTTGAAGGGATGAAGACAGGTCCTCTTAAAAAGTGTTATCTGTGAGGTTCTATCCATTCATCTACCTTAGAATCTGTGGATGTAAAACCATGAAATCCAGATTAAGCCTGCAGTTCTGGAATCAAAAAATAAGCCTTCAGATTACAAAAGTGTATTTTCCATTTCAGAACAAGACTCCAGCTAGTGCTGTTCAGTATTTCAGTGCTCAGAGGACAACACGACAAGGCAAAAGCATTCTAGACGCAGACCTTTCATTATAATGATTCCTGTCAAGAACCTCCCCACTTCCCCTATCTGACACAGTCACCCTTGGGCCAAGACCTCAGAATTTTTCCTTTTAAGAAACCAATTCCAAATTTAGACACAACTGAGATGGGGAACAGAAATGCCATTCTTGAAATGTAGCCAACAAACAACAGGTCCAGAAAACAGAGAACAGCTGAGGAGGACCATAAATCTGGATAAAAGTCACGTTAATGAGGGAAGGCTGTAGGGTCTCCAACTGTCTGAACAGAGCAGCAAGGTAACTAGTTTGCATGGGTCCAAGTAAAAGCCTGGAGCTACAATAATCAGACAGTGATGTTTGTTAGCCACTTGGGGATCCATCTGAATAAAAGCTGTTGTAGAAGGTAAAGTTTTGATCATAAGGAAGGCTCAGACATAAATGTGCTGCTGCTTGCTTTTCTCTTACTAATCAGAACTGACTGTGTGTCAGTCCTCTCCCTCCTGCATTTTTACTGAAAATATTTAATGCATATAAAGTGAATCACAAGCAAACATATGAACCAACTCAAAGGAGTAAAGCATTAAAAAAAAGATAGGTCAAATAAAATAGGTCACAAATAAATGACATAAGGAAACAGTACAAATTACAGACTTTCATAGCCTCAGCTATGTCCTTAAATTACCTTACACTGAAATCATTTTTTTTTTTTGGAGAAAGGGGCCTCTTTATACCAAAAACACTGATAAGACTTACAAAAGACTGACAAAAACTTAATGAAACTTTCCCCCTCCCTCCAGGTAAATTAATACCACAAAGACTTTACTAAAGACTTTACTAAGACAATTAAGACCTATACGCACCCAAGATATTTCAATCCAAAAGCCTCACTTGCTCTGCACACATCTTAAGGTGTCATCTGAAGATTCTGGCCTAGACTACACTACAAAGTTTTACTTGCAGCACTCCAGTTTCAAGTTCGCTCAGAGTTCCTTCACAGTACCAGAATCTTGCCCTTTGCTACCTAGTGCCCTCCCAGGACACACTTCACACACTGCTGGTGCAGTGGAGCCATGTACACCTGACAGAAGTGTATGGATGGGTATGTAGGCATGACAGCTGCTGTCTTTCACCAGACCTTCAATGTGCAGAGGCAGATAAGTGTTGATCTCTCATATATTGGGAGGGAAGGAGAGAAAGAAATCATATGATATTGTCCTCATAATCTCTCGTCTCTCTTCTTCCAAGCTTTGATGAGCAACATCACACTTAACAGCAGCATTCCAAAGTATCACCACTGGCATCCGAGTTAGTACCCATGAAGATTAATGGGACCATTCATAACAACGCCTGCATGCTGTGTGCAGTTTTAGCTAATGAAACCCGTGAAGAAGAAATAGTTCCTGCGAAAGTTTTCTTCCTCAAAGATTAGCAAGAACATTAATCAGAAAGCAGACAGAAAAATCTCCTGAGGAGTCTCTGCTGTAAATCAAAACTTTCCCTAAGTGCACTTCCTTCTCTGCATCACCCTAAGGAGCCATTGCATAGGTGTTATAAGCAGAAGGGAAAATATGGTGTCAATAACTCCTTCAAAACTGAACAGCATCCTTTTATACTGTCACATTTCCATTCAGAGAACCTACATTCTCAGTATCTTCTCAGATAGTACTAAACAACACAGTACTTCACTGGATGAGTACATCAAAAAGGATTAAGGGAGTGTCAACTTGACTCTAAATCTGAACTTTTCATTTGAGGCAGTCAGACTGGAGATTATAGAGAGGATGTGGATGACTTTTCTCTGTGGCCACAGGGAGCAAGATTAAGAGCAATGGATTTAAACTGAGGCAGAGGAAATTTAGGTTTGAGATAAGGAAGAACTTTCTGACTACAAAGGTAGCCCAAGCATTGGGACAGGCTACCTAGAGAATCTGTGGAAGGGTAGACGGATACTTGGAAGGTTTAGTTAGGGATGATCCTGCCTTGAGCATGGGGTTAGACTAGATGCAAGGTCCCTTTCAGACCTACTTTCTTATGATCCCATGACAGTGAAAGTATATTGTGCTCCATGCAACCTCAGTGCCAGTCCCCTTGGCTTTAGCTAAACTTCTAATGTAGCAGTTCCCAAACTTTTTCTTATTGTGTACCCCCTTCCCGACTTGCCAGCTGCCTTGTACCCCTACCTGCATAAGTTTTATATATTAACCCTTTAAATGTCAATTATTATTGGCAGATTTAACTTTCATTATAACATTACCTAATTTCTCTCACGTATCCCCCAGAGATGTCTCACGCAGTACGTGTACCACAGTGAGAGAACCTCTGGTTTAGTGGAAAAGCAGTTAATAATGAAAACAAGTTTCCCTAGATCTGTTCTGTACCCATCAACATCACTGCCACATATATGCACACTTAGGGAATTTTTCACATTTTCTGCTACTCCTTGGGTTCAAAAATTTAGCAGCAGCTAAGTATCATAGGCATCTGTGGCCATCTGATGGTCAAATGAGAAACTACATTAGACAGTTCCAGTGAATACTCCATTATATGTATGCACTGGGTTTGCAAGAGTAAAACACAGCTCAGTATTTGTGAGCGAAGATGGAGCCCACTTCAGCAAACATTAATAGACCAAGCGTGGGCTGGACACTAAAACTTTGACAATGTCAGAGGCGGCATTAGCCGTGAAACTGATGAAAACAGCTAAATCTACATGAAATAGCTAAAATGCTTAATTTGACATAAGCAATACCTTTGTCACTGAGATCTACAAGGATGGTAAATGGCTAGTGGCAGCTGCCCAATATAAACATCTGCCCAAGTTAGCCATTGGTGTTTTAAGCTGTAGGAGTGTTATCATACAGTCCGAGTCAAAAAACAGCACTGCAATTAGAAAGAACTGGTTCTCATAAAATGGATTTTAGAATTTGCCACATGAGTAGCTCTTGAGAGAGGGAGAGTGACAGACAGACAGAAACAGGTGACTAAGATTTATAAGTTACAAGGAAGAACACAGGAGTTGCCATGCCATGTCAGACAAATGACCTATTTAGTACTAGGTCTTTAGTACTGTACCTTGAACATGGTCAGGAAATAGTGCCTTTCAAAGAAAGGTGAAACAAACCCAAGCAATTATGGACTAGCTTCTCCACAAGAGAAGTTTTTTATTCTACACACAAGCTTTCTCCATCATTTTAGGGTAGGTCATATCATGAAGCGAGACAGTTCATAAATTTATCCGTAACAACTGTGGAGGGTTTTTTTAGGGAAATATTTCCTTGTTTGTGAATCCTACCAAACCCTTTGGTTTCAGCATCTTGTAGCAATATGCTCTACAAGGTAGTTATTCAGTGAGTTAAAAAAATAAAAGACTTTTTGTTGCTTTTAAATGTTATTCAGCCATTTCAATCAAATCAGTTTGGGGCTTATACTAAGAGAAAAGGCCAACAGGAACACCTAGCTTACCAGTGGTTCTCAACCTTTTTGGACTCAAGGCACCCCTCCATAATTTTTGTGAATTGAAAGGCACCCAATTTCAAAATACTATTTTATATATTATTACAGTGCTTACCTCCTTGCAGAGGAGCTGGGCAGTGGGGGAAGGGGGACTGTCCAGGTAGGGAGAAGCCTGAGCCTGCATTCTCAGATTATTTCCTCTCACCTTGAAACACCCTTCAAAGGATCTCGTGGCACCCCAGGGTGCCCATGCACCTTGGTCGAGAATCATTGTCTAAAATCAGTGATGCCCAATCTTTTTGCCCCACAGGCCAGATGGGCAGTGCCAGGTCCATCTGTGGGCTGGATCCAGCTAATGGGGCCAATCTGGCTGCAAGCAGTTGCACAGCCTGATCTTCATCCATCCACCCAGGGCATGGCAGGGTGTGGTAGCCCTGAGCCAAACATAGGGGAGGGGGGATGGAAGCAGCAAATGTCATAGTCCAAATGTGAAGGGTGGGGGCAGGGGCAGGATAGTCCCAGTCTGGACACACAGGCTTCGGGCAGGGGAAGGGTGGGAACAGAGTAACCCTGATCTGGATGCATGGGGGGAAGGGAAGGAGAGTGGAAGCAGCAGGTTCCAATCTGGACATATGAGATGAGACAGGGTAGGGCAGGGCAGACCCAATCTAAATGCACAAGGCGGTGGGGCTCCAATCCGGATGTGTGGATTGGGGGTGAGGGCGGGGGAAAGAGGAGCCCAGCCAGATCTGGACACTCAGGGGTGGGGCCCAGGCCAGTTCTGATCCCTCTTCACTGCAATAGCCCAGACAAGATTGGAGTTGGCTGCCTGGGCAAGGCTGGAGGTTCTCTCACCTGTGGAGGAGCTCCACAGGCTGGATGTCATGGCTCTGAGGGTCAGAGGTTGAGCAACCCTGCTCTCACCCATTGATTAATGGCAGATGGAGGCTCAAAGCCCTATCAGCTCCAATTTCCTCCATACACTTTTTGCTGCTAGGACTCTTAGGCTGCCCCTGCACCTGGAGCTGTTTATCAAACAGCTTCTCTCTCCTCAAAAGCTACCTCTTCACATAATGACACAATTTCATTAAAACTAATAAGAAACTACAATCATCCCATCCTATTTTCTGTTCTTACCAGGAAGCAGCTGTCTAGGACTATTTATATCTTTGCATTTTAGAATGCATAGCCCCATTCCCATCCTGAGACAATCAAGGGCTAATTTGAGTTAATTTCCATTCAAACAGTGTGTGTAAATGACTGTCAACCACTGCCATATTTTTGGATACAAGTCAAAACCAGGGAGAAATAAGACCTGAGAGAAACCCAATATTTGCTTTTTACCATCACTCAACTTACCGTGGAATGTCATTTCCGTTTGCCCAAAAAGAAAGCAAAGCCATCTCAAGCCCTCTACTCAACCACAACTATTCACTGACCTTTTGGAGGGGCTGGCTGGATGCTAACCACTGGTTGCTGCTTTGGCAGTGGCAGAAGTGTTGGAAGGGTCTGAATAATGATGGCTTTAGCTGGTAAACCAATGTTGGTCTGAGTCTCAGGTACAGCAGGCAGCAAGAGAGGCTTGGGTTGAATGGAAAGTTTGGATACCTGATTATATCGCTTTGGTGCCTTTGCAGAGCTATTGGCTGGGGAGAAGGGAAATAAATGAGTTTCAAAGATCTAAAAATAAAAATTCTATAAAGAGTTACTGATGTATTTCTTTGTTAAGATGCGCCTCTCATGCCAAGTACATTTATCAGAAACAAAAGGCCCAACTATTAGAATAGGACTGTAAATGTCCTTTTCCTCCCATATGCATCATCTCATGAAAGACAATGATGCATGTACCAACAGCAAGGCCAAAGAAAAAATATCAATCATACCAGACCGGAGTGTGGCATTGGCAACAGGCTTTTTCTTATTCTGGGCATCAGGGGATGAGGGACTTGTGGAGCCCTTGCCATAAAGAGAAAGTGGAGACATCTGGGAGCTGGAGCTGAAGTCCAAGTCTTCCTGTTGATGGAAAGTACAAAACCCCCCCCCCAATGACAGATCCTTCAAAACAAAAAAGAGAGCACTTAGAAAATAAACCAAATACATCACAACCTGCATTATTCATATAGGAATGATTCACAAACCACTTGTTTTTAAAACAACTTCCTCAAACAAACATACTCAGGTGCTTTCCTGTGACTTTCACTTCAAAGGGCACTGCTTCTCTGATCAGCTGAAGAACAGTCAGTCTGGCACAGCTGATTGGAAAGCGATGCCCTGTGAAATAAAAGCTGTGACTAGGATATGGTACACATCCAGTCCCCCGTAGCCATTCACTGTGGTTAGATATACCTAGATTTACCAAGTTTGCGCAGTTTGAAAACTTTGCAGTGGGGTTATGGTCCTGTATAAAGAATCTGATTTTTTTACTGTATTTTCAGTGTTCAGTTCAATGTTTAACTGGCCTTTCCACTAAAACCTCCCACAGTAACAATGAGGATGGAAAGAGATATTTTTATCCAAACTTTTAATCTTGGCAGTGCTAAAGGCCATTTAAAAACAAGAGATCCTCTTCTTTTTATCCAGCAAGATCAGGCAGACAGGACACAGCAACAGCTACTAGAAAGGCCGTCCTGTAGTGGATACTTTTGGACTCCACACAGATACAATATATAGGGAAAAATCACAGGAAGTGCAACAGCTTGTTTAATTTTGCAGTTTCTCCCATGCCCCTCCCACCACTGATCAGCAGAGGGGCCCTACCACTTGCTCCTGATTGGCAGAGAGGTGAAAACCACAGTTTTAAATATGGCGCAGTTTTTGCCTCCTGCCACTGATTGGCCAAGGGTTCCCAGTGGCCCTGACGTTTGTTGCTGACTGGAGAGGAGGCGAAAGCCATGCCATATTTAAAACAGCAATTTTTGTCTCCCTGCCAATCAGGGGCGAGTTGTGAGAGGCAGGTGGCAGTGCCCCTTTGCCAATCGGTGCGGCCTGGGGGGCGGGGGAAGAGGAGGAGGAAGAGGGCCTGTGGGAAACTGTAAGATTAAAGGAGTCACCATGCAGCACACTTCCACTGCAATTTTGGTAGGTACTTAACAATACATTCTCAGTTATCCAAACCTCTTTGGCAATGCTGGTGAATTTACTCAGGTAAGTGAAACTGTGACAAGGTCAAGGTAATCTCTCTCAACAGGGCTTCTGATTGGCTTATCTAACTGGAGTCCATTGAGAGGATGTCCAGACAAGCTTTTTATGTGTGCAGTAATGTGTTATCCAAGCTCCAGCTCACTCTTTGTTGCTAATTATGTGCGTCCTAGTAACAACATCAAATCAAAATCAAGGCAACCTGCTGGCCACTTGGATAACGGAGGATGTATCATAGTTGTTCACAGGCATAACATGGAAAAGCTAGGCTCTTGAACCCCGCTGCAATATTGTCTGCTGCGCATTATTATGTTCCTGTTTGTATGGATCAGACAGTAGCATGGGAAAGAAAAAAGCTTAGTACAAGAAAATTTGACTGAAGAAACTGTTACAGGGACAGGCAAGATAACTGAAAGCAGTTTATTACAGGAAAATAGATCAGAATATGTTGATGCTGTTCTTTTAATTTGTACTTCCTTTATAAGCCATACTTTCATTCATACAATATCACTGTAAGCCATGTAAAGTATCAAAATGTTAGTGCTTACGGGCACATGTTGTGCTGAAGAGTCCACTGATGATGACGGCGAAGGAACTGAAAAAGTTGAATTAGCTGGTGACTGAGGTTCTGTCTTCAAGTTTGCCTCTGCAAGAGACAAAGATAAATAGGCTTTTGTACTGCACAGATCTCTAACAACAGAAGCATCACCCAGAGAACATGTCACTCTACCTCAAGCATTCAATTAAACAAAAGAAAAGAAAAATAACTAAAATACACGAGTAAAAATAGTAAAACTACAAAAGCTACGCAAAAAGAATACCTAATGTTCCACCCAAAGGAAAGAAAAAAAAAAAAAATCAGTGAAGCAATTCCTGGTCGCAAGTCACAGCATACATAGGACCTTGAAGATCATCTAATCCAACCCCCTGAACAGATACAGGATGCACTGTTCCTGAACCATCCTAGACAGATGCCATTCAGCTTCTTGAAAATCTCCAATGAAAGAGATTCCACAGCTACCCTAGACAGTTTGGTCCACTGCCCTAATGGATCCTAGAAGGTTTTTTCTGAGCTTTGATCTGCTCTGGTATTCTAGTAAATAGTTCCACTAGTATCCCCAAACTTATAACACCTCTGACTAGAAAGTCATAGCTGGTATGTATTACCTGAAAAAGTCTGGTTTGTAGTATCCCAGAGGTCTGAGTCACAAGACATCAAATCAAGATCAAAATCAAGGTTATACAGACAATTTTTCTGAAATGACAGTTCAGCACAATTAGATTTCAGAGAAGGAAGAACTGAGGATATATATTATAACCACCATGCATTATGCTCAGCTAATTACAGAACAGAATAATAGAAAGGAATTCTAAGGCACCATTTATACCTTATGGTACAGTGAAACCACAGTGTTCACAGTTAAACTCTCAGAAGCATAGAAGGCAGGTTTTCTATAAGAATAATGATGTCAGCCATAGATGCAGAAATAGGCTATGGCTTTTACTTCAGTCTTAAGCAGCAACTGGATAAGCAGGGGGAGAGAGGGGGTGTCACGAGTAACTTTTTTCCCAACTATTATTTGTAATGCAGTAGCAAACTACAGGTTTCAGTCATTATTTGAGATACTGATTTTTCTGCTTTTTTTTGTCTTTATAATACCTGATTTCATATCAATACATTCCAGCCTTGAGAGGTCAATATTATTAGCTCCATTTTACAGATGGGAGAAATTGAGACCTGGGGATGCAACATGACTTGATGAAGGACATTAGCAAGCCGGATGACAGAGCTAGTAATAGACCCCAGATCTACAAAGTGATAGACTAATGCTTTCTCTACTAGGCACACAACAGTTAACAGATACCTTCAATTTCCAGAGGGAGGGCATCCAACTTCCTTTTCCAAAGATACTTTGACTCTATGCAGCAAATGGCACAAGGACAGTCTTTCATAAATGAGTCAGCAGGAGGTTTTGGCTACCTGTACAAAAAACCCCTCTACTTCATGAATTCTCCTCCTCCTAAAAGGAGTGGAATTCTCCAGTCTCAGCCAAGCAGCAAAGTTATTCCAATAAATACAAAGCAAATGTTTAAAAGCATCACATGCTCCTAGCAGAATTTCTGGAGACCATGAACACCCAAAAAATGGCTGTGTCAGAAGTGAGGCAAACCCCAAGAATGTCAAAAAGGGTAGCAACTCTAGAGCAGGGCCCATTATGTGGATATAACTTAGGTGTGCACCAATAAAGATTTTCTTGGTCAATACCAATGGCTGATTATTAGCCATATTGGCCAATACCAATCTGATAGCTGATTTACAAGAATGCAGCCCAGCAGCTTGGAGAACAGTTTCCTGCTAGTAAATCTGTACGGCGGGGGAAGGAGCAGGGGGGCAGGGGGGGAAGGGGGGTGGTTGAGGAAGGAGGCATGGGGGGTTACAGATTGAGGCCCCCACGGTGAGGGAGGGAGTGGGGCAGGGGCTGCCCAGCCAGGGCAGTAAATGTGACCCCAGGGCGAGATATGAGGCAGAGCCATGGGAGGCTCATCCAGGGAGCATGAAGGGTATGACTCCCTACCGCTACATGTACCCCTGGGGGAGGCATGGGGGACATGTGCCATCCCCTGGATTTGTCCACAGGGCGAGGGCAGGCTGCCCACTGTGGGCTCGGAGCCAGGGGATGCACTGACCTGTTCCTGGTGGAGGGGTTGGGGATATGGCACTAGGGAGAGGCTTGGGGGGTTATGACCACCCCAAATTCCTCACCCTGGAGCCACCCCTTCCAGAGCCGCCACCACCGCCCACTCCATGCAGCTGAGCCCACCCTGCCCCTGCCCAACCTAAGCACAGCCTTGGCTCAGGTACTCTACCAGGAAGAGGCCGGAGCAGCTTTTGGCCCCGAGCCTGCAAGAGGCAGCCCATGCTTGCCCTGCACACAAATCTGAGGGGGCACATGCCCCCATGCTTCCCCTGGGGGTGTGTGTAATGGCAGGGAGCCATCTCTCCTCGCCACCACCCTACACTCCCTGGACAAATCACCTGCGGCTCCGCCCCGCGCCCCGCCCTGGTGTCACATTCACTGCCACAGCTGGGCAGCACATGCCCCTGCCCCATGGGGGTCTCAATCTGCCCTCCCAAACCCCACTCCCTTCCCCATACCCTCCACAGACTTCCCAGCAGGAGGGTGCTCTCCAAGCTGCCGGGGTGCATTCCTGGACACATGCATGCCATGCAGCATTTATTGGTCACAGCATTTATTGGTCAAAAAAAGCCAACTGCCATTAATGTTAATTTTCCTGTTATCGGTGCTGATCCAATATGCAACCAATATATTGGTGCACCTCTAGATATAACCTGTGCCTTACTGTAGTGCTGTTTTGAAATAGATGCTTTTCCATTTACAGAGAATTAAGATGATGGTGTCAGATTAAATTGAAAGGAAAGACCTAGGTTCTTACAGCAAATGGAATTTTGATGGAAATAAGGACTCATACAGAAACAAGAACATAATTAGATGAGACTTTCATTCAGAGCTTTGGTTGCAACCAATACCAGGTGACAGGCAAGCTTACGCAACAGTACCTGTATTGTTGCAACACATGCTTTAGAAAGACATGCAATAGCAACAAAGCAGTAATTTGGTCTCCCTTTTGTGGGGATGGTATTTCCACTGTACACTTCAAAATGAAGTAACAACTGAGCAATAGACCTTTATGTATTAACAAAATGCTCCAGAGCTAAACTATCTCAAAACACAAATAGGACAGCAGGTACCATATCTCAGAGCAGGGGTAGCCAACCTGAAGCATGTGTACCACAAGTGGCACAGGCAGCCTTTGCATGTGGCATGTGAGAGACTGGGATGAGGACAGGCAGCATAGTGTTAGACAGGGCAGGAGGCAGAAAGCAGAATATAAGATCATGCAGGGAGCACAGGGCAGGAGACAGAAAGCAGAGCAGCAAAATGAGTAAGGGAAAGGGATCAAAGTGACACAGAGAGGGTGCAGAGCTAATTTGTAGCACACCTGCCAAAGGAGCTGGCCCCTAGTGTCAGAAGTGATGGAATATTTCACTGCATGTGGTTTGTACAAATTAAGCCCTTATATGATCACTGTAATAATCCTTATGCTTAACTCTGGTCACTGAATATTACCCAACAGTTCATAAATCAAGCCCAACAACTTGAATAGGAACACACGTTTCAGACAACCACTTGCTTTAAATTGAGATTTTGGTTGGTAGAGAATCCCTGCATTGCCACATAAAGTTGCTTCAGTTGTGCCATGTCACCTGGCCCCTGGGTCCATGGGGAGCCCTGCGAACCATCGCCCTACATGCTAAATTGGGCAGGCAAGGTAGTGTGGAGCCCACTGGGGGCAGTGCAATGACTTGAAGCCCAATCTGGCCCACAGACCAGTACCATGCCATTAATCTTGCCCATGGGGCCAATACCTTGAGCACCACGGCCATACACGATAAAAGTAATCTCTTAACTTTTTCTTGGATAAACCAACAGATAGATGTTATCTTTCTCACTGAAGCAGTTTTAAATCTCAAATTAAATTGTTTCCTTTCCAGTTACTCAACATCTTTTGTTAAAAACTGACACTACTTCTGGAAAGGATACTCCTACATACAGAATAGGAAGTCAGAGGTGCTGGGCTTTAAGACTCCTTGAAGGATTGCATCAACCTTTTTGGATACTGTGTTGCAGTAGGAGCTCCCAGTCAGCTAAACTGCCCAACTAAACTATTTTATGGAAAGGAACAAATCTCCCATTCTTTTTTCTTAGATGACACCACCGTGGATTTGACCATAACAGAACACATACTGTTGGAATTGTTTGGTATGCACTTCATGCATTCAAAATACTCTGAATCAACAACCTGCCTTCAATATTTATTAGGCCTCCAATTTTTGCAGCCTCCAAAACTGATCAGTAATTATTTCTTTTAGGTCACTGTCATAAAACAGGGGGTATTTGAGAAGGCCCTAGAGGGTAGTGTGAGTGGGCGGGGACTGAGCACTGCCACTCAGCATCCTGCGTTGCTGCACAAGTGCTGCCTGCCTGGCTGGACGTGGAGCGGCAGGGGAACCTTGCATGTGGCAGCTGCCACTGCTCTGCATCCAGCTGCTCGCCACCCCCTACTCCGCTCAGCGGCCAAAGGTACACCATTCTGCGTCTGGCCACCAGTGGATATAATGATGCAAAAAGGTTGAAAGCCCCTGTTATGAAACATTAAAATAATATTGGTGAGTCCGGTCTAAAAGTGCACTTAATCTGCTGAGAGACCATATTGTGTAAGATGCTAATAAAAATGCTATGTTGCACTAAACAAAAACAAAATCCTACCAAAGTCCAAGTATGCTATGCCAGTTATCTTTACCAACCAAACTTGTATTCTCCTGAAAACAGCATCAAGTTCATCGGACAAAGACTACATTACATGAAACAATGTTAGTTTGCATTAACTATAATTCCTCTCTTTAGTGCTTACTGGGTGCATCTACACATGCCTCTTGAATGGGCTTAGCCTAAAAATCACTATTTTTAAAGCACATTAAGGGCACATGGCTACACGTGCACGCCCTTAACGCTCCTTAAAAATGGCAATTTAAGGCTATGTGAGCATGAATTTGATACCTGCATAAAGCAGGTATCAAATTTAGGTGTAAATAACTAAGTCACATTAGTGCATGTGTAGACATGCTAATGCGCGTTAACGCGGTGTGTGTCAGTGAACACATATTGTGTTAATGCGCATTAGTACATCTACACATGAGCTAATATGACCTAGCTATTCGTGCCCAAATGTAATGATCTTAATGCACATTAATGTGTTCATGTATAGACATGTGCCTGAATCGCCTTATGTGCCGTAAGCAAAGGCACATTAAGTTTAGGCACATGTAAATACACGTGTAGACATGCCTACTGACTCTATGACTCACTCCATAACTTTGTCCAGAATCAATGTCAGACTGTGCAGCCTGTAATTACTGAGCCTCCCCTTTAACATTTTTTTAATGTTAATGCAACACAAGTTTTCTTCTAGTCAGCTGGAACTTTGTCATGATTCCCAAAAATATAAAGTTTTGCCCATAATTTCCAATTATACTGGGTCTCTCCCACTTTACCTGTTGGGGTCGGCTCTCCATTTGTTATTGGACCTTGGAAATACAGTATACTGGATGCATGTATACTGACCAAATGTGATTCACTTAGCCACATAAAATCAATTTTGCAATTATGTACATGGTAACAAAAATTAGGTTTCTTCAGAGGCTAAAGCATTAAAAGGAGATTAAGGGGGATGGACAAGTCAGTTTCAAGACAGGGTAGCATCTTAGAGACTAACTCAGTCCCTATGGTGCCACCCTGCCTTGTCTTCTGCAGCCTAACTCTAACTATTCCTCTCCATTAGGAGCCTTGACAATGAGGGTAGCTAGACAGTTTCAGGGCTGCAAGGAAAAGCCCTGAAATGGTGAGGAGCTAAGCATCCCCCAAAACTGACAACACTGCAGCACTGACAGCCCTGTGTACTTAGGAAAGAAGCTCAGTGCTGCCACATAGGCAAAAGTGACACCAACTAGGTAACCTCATTTGCAAGACTTCTTATAATCAGGTAGTCTGTTTTAGGGACGCTAATAAAGCAGCACTGTCAGCCCTTAATGAGGACTGTTTAGACTGGGATAAACAATCTAGGTAAGCCTTTTTTCAGGCCCAAGTGATGCTCTTGTAATCAAGTATGCTGGAATACATTCACCCAAAAGGCAGTTAAGGATGCCTGTATAATAGTTTCTTTAGCATTCTTTTCTATTTTCATGCTTCATTTCACCAACTTAGAATAGCATTTTGCCTTTCAAAAGGCCTATTACCCAACATTGCCTTTTGATTACTCCTTGGGCTAATCAGAAGCAAGAAACTGAGGCTACCAAGGACACATAAAAAGAGGCAAAATTCTCCAGTGATTTCTTAGTGGCTGTGACAGTAAATGTTACAAGGATTTGTGGGACTTCAGCCCATGATTCTTCTCCTCTGGCTACTCACATAAGGCTCATTCTCCATATCCAGCTGCAAATCTGCTACATCTGCAAGGTCACTGAATTCATCGAAGAGGATAGATTCTAAAGGCAATACAAACAAAAAGGGAAAATACTTTATGCTACAAGTTATGTTTGGGGTAGTCAAAGGCACCAAAGAAGAGTTGAGCACTCACATGCCCCCACAGCCAGTCCTCGAGCCAGATCCCTCTCCTAGCAGCATACTAGTAGAAATTTTATTAGGACCCGGAATACAATCCAGACTGCTCTGCAGGGCTCAAACCCTGCAGCAGGAAGGTGGCTTAATCACACAAGAGCAGCACCCCAGAAAACTTCCTTCCCCTTTCCCTATATCCTGCCATAGCCAACATTCCTGCAGTCTACCCGCCCCTCCTTCCCACAGATGTCCATCAACTACCTTCCCTTCCTTTTCTCCTCCCCATCACTGCCCTCACAGGAACCCACTCATCTCTGCTTCAGTGTCCTAGACTCTTCCCCTTACACCCTCACCTATCTACCTGCAATATGACTCCTCTGCCTCAACTCAAGCAGGCCAAAGCCAGAAGGAATCATGCAAGCACCAAGCCCAGCCTCTCCAACACTGGTTCCCTCCTGGGGCTGGGAGGTAATTCCCCACCACACCCCATGCTGATACATGCGTCATGGGTTTTTTAAAAGTTTTCCTCAGAGGCACCGAGTGTTGGTTGCAGCCCAGGCTGGGGATTTTGGCTGGGCTGTGCCAATGCTCCTGCTGGCACTTAAAGCTGGAGGTTTCTGGCTAGAGGGGCTTGCTCCTCTGCTCAGGGATAGCTGAAAAAACTCTCTCACTAGGAGGGTGGTAAAGCTCTGGAACAAGTTGCCCAGAGAGGTGGGTGGCATCTCCATCCTTGGAGGTTAAGGCCCGACTTGACAAAGCCCTGGCTGGAACGATCTAGTTGGGGTTGGTCCTGCTTTGAGCAGGGGGATGGACTAGATCAGTGTTTCTCAACCTGTGAGTCACAACCCGAAGTGGGTTGCAAGAATATATGAAAGGGTTATGAACAAGCTTTAAAAATGGATTCTCCTTTAAAGGAGAAAAATCTGGGAAACCGTGGCTGTTCCCTTGAAGGCTGGCAGAGCTCCAGCCTCCAAGGAGCTGCTTAGGACCCCCGCATGCCCCAGACACACCCACCCGCCGACCCACACACTGGGGGGCGGGGCGGGCCAGTGGGTCAGGAGTGGGGGGCACTGGGTCTGGACCGGCCATCCATGTTTACAAATGGGTCCTGGTACAAGAAACGTCGAGAACCACTGCACTAGCCGACCTCCTGAGGGTCCCTGCCACCCCCCACTTTCTCCCATCTCCACACTGGGGCAAGGAAGTTCTGCCCCCTGCTCACACTGGTGCAGACGGGGGGAGGGGAAGGACCCCTGGAGCGCACAGAGCAGCTCCCCTCGCTTCCCCGGCGGCGGCTCCGGCTGTGACGTCCCGCCTTACGTTAGCGGGGCGCGAGCTCCGCTCACCGGGGAGATGACGTGGTCGCCGGGGCGCGGGGCCCCTTCGGCCCGACCTGCCCAGAGCCGCCCCCGTTTCCCTCCCCCCGGCGCGGCTGCCCTCACCCCAGTCGGACCCGCCCCCCGGCGGCGGCAGCAACAGCCCCGGCCCCAGAGGGCC